CCAGACATTTAGTGCCTGGACTCCAATCCCTATAAACAGGACTAATGAAAGAAGATGTAAAAACTGAAAATTAGGCAAATGACAGACAAAAGTATAGGCCCAGGCAGTTAGATGGAGAATTTTGCTACTACAACTGAAGTGATTAGAACCAGGTCACAAGGCTTAAGTAAGACCAAGAGCAAAAGTAATGATGTTGATTATGAGAATATGATATTGAAGCTCTTTTAATCCATTCCAAGTTGGGGATTAGACTAGAGACTGGACTTAGTCTGCAAAAAGCCAAATATCTCCAGCTCTCCGGTCATGAAACAGAAGAGGAATGGGGAGTGTGAGACCCAAGTGCAACACAGAGATGTGCATCCCAGAGACAGGTTAGCCTTGCTGAGCAGTTTGCTTGGAGCTCAGCATCCCTATACTGTACCTGCTTTCAAAGAGTTTTCCATTTCTTTCTTCTGAGACTACACATTTTTTAAATCTCTGCTTTTGGGGGGCCTTTTTTTTTTAATTTTTTTTTTTAAATATATATATTTTTTGCGGTACGCGGGCCTCTCACTGCTGTGGCCTCTCGTGCCGTGGAGCACAGGCTCCAGACGCGCAGGCCCAGCGGCCACGGCCCACGGGCCCAGCTGCTCCGCGGCACGCGGGATCCTCCCAGACCGGGGCACGAACCCGCGCCCCCTGCATCGGCAGGCGGACCCTCAACCACTGCGCCACCAGGGAAGCCCGGGGGGGCATTTTTTCCCCACCATCAACAGAGTTGCCAAAGCAGGGATTGTCATTTTTAGATGTGGGTCATTTGTTAGATGAGTTTATCTGGAAATGCATGTGAGCTGAAGTCGATCCAAAAGGCAAGAGAGGGAAGACTGAGAGGCTGGTAATGTGTCCCATGAAAGAGAAAGGAGATTGTACTGAAGACAGAGTTCAAACTGTGACAGATGGATTTGAGGAAGATGAGCTTGTCATAAGCTTGTATTTCAACAACCTGGAAGTGAACAACCTAGATTTGAAGAGACAGTTACACATCAGTACTTGGCGATTCTGAAATCCTGCTGCTATCCAGATGTCAGATCCTATTAGCTCTCCTATGACCACCAATCTAAAGAGATGCCAGGAACACAGTCTCCGGGCTGTCAGCACAGTTTTAAATCAAGTCATCTGAACGTATCTTTGTTGTTCTTTACAAGTTCTTTGTTTACTGTGGGCCTAGGTCTAAATAAAGATTTTTAAATCACTTCATATTTTAACAGGATTTTTAACAGTCACACTGACATTTTCTCTAAGAGATCAACACCACATCTTAGCTCCTCTCTCCAAATGGGATACAAGACTATATGTGGGAATTTCAGGTCTTTTTCTAGATTCACAGCTATAAATAAGTAAATTTTACCTTTGAGAGGCATCCCTTTCTGTTTTCTATATCCCACTTTCCCTATCAAGCAACTGATTTCCTCCTGTTGCCTTTAACTCCCAAGTTTTCTTTGTATTGTCCTTCTCAATGCAGCACTGGTTGTTACAGACTTTTGCTGTCCCATCTTCCTTCTGATCTATGTAGAATTCATTCTCTAAGAATTCTAGTTTAAAAAATTGGTTATCCTAATATAATAAAATATGTGAGACAAAGTGCTAAATACCAATGGTACTTAAGGAGTCTCTCTGTACATCTATCACTGATGTGTGTTTATATATGTGTTTGCTTATTCATTTATTTAACTATATCTATGAACACTTATTATGTGCCATGTACTATGCTAGCTGTTTTGCATACATTACCTCATTTATTGGGTCTTCGATGCTTTCTTTACCTTTGGCCCAAGGGATAAGTGTAGTCATTCCTTACTTCACAGAAACCACCTCAAGAATATATGGAAACGACTACCCATATGAATTGCCTGGCTACTATGATTAAAAACTTAACACATTAAAACAGAGGTATGTAGTATAATTCTAATAGTAAATGAAATTTTTTTTTAAATGTTTGGCTAGCCCTTGGCAGAATACCCTACTGAGCTGTAACTCCTGGTCCTTAGGACAAGGAATGAATACTGTTAGATTTTCATGCAACCTGGCAAGGCCATCAGGAAAGACATTTTTGGTCAAAGAGCACTTTACTGACTTCAAATTATAACATGCAGCTAGCTTTCTCTTCTGTCATTGAGGCAGGCCAGTTCTAGCTAAGTATGTGCTGAGGTCAAAGCTGAATCACAGGTATGCCCAAATATAGCTCATCTTTCTGAAAACTGTGGCCTCCTTTCCACAGCTGCTGTGTGTACAACACACGAGTTATTAGCCTTATGCAGAGAAGCGGCCCCTTCTTAGACAGAGTAGGTCCAGTGAAAAGCACTGGCTTTTAAAATAAGGAGGAAAGTAGGAGTATGCAAATTAAATAAAGATAAGTTGTTAAAGGTTAACTAGTTTCTCCTGGTGGTGTTATAAGCAAATGGCATAGTCATTCTCTAGTTCTACAATATTTAAATGTTTTATTTCAGTCACATAGTGGGAGCTGAGAACAAATGTGGGTAAACCAGATACAAAATACCTTCACAGAACATAAGCTAAAACCTATTCCCTTAATCCTTCAGTGTTGAATCATATGTTATGTCTGGACCATAAATGTGAAGAATGCCAAAGTCGCTGGGCTATTGCCATGATCTTGTACACACACACACACACACACACACACACACACACAATCATATCCATGCTGAAAATATGTTACCGTCATTCCTATTGTATTAGTTTTCTATTGCTGTGTAATAACTTATTGGAAACCTAGGGCTGAAAACACCTATCATTACGTCCCAGTTTCTGTTGATCAGAGGTCTGGCACAGTGAAGCTGGGCTCTCTGCTCAGGGTCTCACTAGACTAAAACCAAAGTTTTGGCTAGGCTATATTCTCATCTGGAGCTTCCAAATGTATTCACACTGTTGGAAGAACCTATAGATCTTTGCATTTATACAACTGAGGTTCCTGTTTTCTTGCTGGCTGCCTTAGCTCTTAGGGGCCACCCTCAGGTCCTAGCCACATGGCCCTCTCACAACAAGCTAATTTATTTCTTCAAAACTGGCACTAGAATCTCTCTCCAGTCTGCTACTATGGGAAGGAGTCATTTAATGCAATATAATCACTTGAGCAACTATACCATCACCTTTGCTTCATAACATAGCCTAGCAAGGGAGTGAGTACCTCGTTGTATTCACAGATGCCACCCACACTTAAGGGGAGGAGATCTGTACAGCACATGTGGGAGCAGAATCTTGGAGGCCATCTTGGAGGCCTACAACAACTATTACTCAGAACAAGGGCTGAACCCTGTGAATTATATGACTGAGGAGAGAGCAAAATGTTACTCACTTCCAGAACCTAGAAGTCAAGTGTAAACTGTCTCAAGATGAAGAACAGTGCTTTCCAAGAAAAAAAGAAGAAAAAAATCCATAAATGTCTACCAAGTTTCCCAGAGGAAGACACTCAGGTCTAAATTTCACTGTATACTTTGAACTACGCCCAGTAGAGATGCAAATTCCTATACAGACCGATAATAAGGCTGACAAAGATTTATGGATGACTACCTAAATGATACCTGTACCTCAGTTTTGGCAACCCCAAACCCTGTACCTCCTTTCTCCACTACATTCCTTCTTGTTATACCCAATAGCTGGCTACAAGCCAACGTGGCAACACTGCATTCTCTAGAGGCAGAGTAAAAAAAAATCAATATTCAAATAGTAACTTTGACATTTTCTGGAGTAAGATTAAAACAACCAGGTGAGCAAGTTTTGATTCTGCAATACCTGCATACCTCAGAGATATTGTGGGTTTGGTTTCAGACCACTGCAATAAAGTGAAACCGCAGTAAAGCAAGTCACACGAATTTTTTTGGTTTCCCACTGCATGTAAAAGTCATGCTTACAGCATTCTGCAGTCTATTAAGTGTACAATATCACTATGTCTAAAAAACCAATATACAGACCTTAATTTAAAAATGCTTTATTCAGAAAAAAGTGCTAATCATCATCTGACAATACAGGGTTGCCACAAACCTTCAATTTGTAAAAAAGCACAATATCTTTGATGCGTAACGAAGCAGAGCAAGACAAAATGAGGTGTGCCTGTGTACCTCCTGTACAATCACCTCCCCTTGAATGATGGTGGACCTGTAAGTATGATGAGATAGGCTTTCCTTTGATTAAGTGACATTACATGGCAAAGTGATGGGATAGTCATTTCCATGACTGATATAATGATTATATTATATAAGACTCCATCTGAACAGACCGGGGAGATTTTCTTGGTGGCCTTGAAAAGTAAGGGTCACATGAGTAGGCCTTGAGGAGACTTCTGGGAGCTGAGAGTAAGCCCAGGTTGGCGGCTAGCAATAAAATGGGGACCTCACACATACAGTTGAAAGGAACCTAATTCTGTCAATGACCTGAATGAACTTGAAAGAAGTCCCTGAGCCTCAGATCAGATCACATCGCAGACGACCCCTTGACTTTGGCTCCGTGAGACCCTGTGCAGAGGAACCAGCTAACCCCTGACTGAAAAAGCTAATCAGTTGAAACTGTGTGATAATATGATTGTGTTGCCTTAAGGTGTTAACTCTGTGGCACTGCCTCATGCAGCATAGAGACCTAACATACAAACAAATTGAAACATAAATAAAATAAGCAAACTAGCAAAATTAGCTTTAGGAATTTTCTGCAGCAACACCTCTCAATAACTGAATCCCAACTGGTCTCACTGAGTAGCTACAGTATTTCCAGGCATTTAAAATGTATTGAAAACAAAAATATACCTAAAAAAAAACCCCACATTTTTTGGTGGTACTCCAGAGGATTGGAGATGACAAACTAAAGCAAAAACTCCTTAAGTGATGAAAGAATGCCAAACCAGTGGGGATTTAATCATCTAACTCCAACAAGGTTAAAAGAAAATCTAAATAATTAATTATGATAGATATTATGTGTATTCACATATATGCACAGAAGCAAAGGGCACTTACTCTGAAAGCTGTTCACTGAGAAGACTCGAGGATGATAGAATCCTGCTTTGCAAATGCACTGATAGGCTCCAAGCACGAATCCTAGGCCCTTAATCGGCATACACTATGAGAAAGAAAAGACAGCAGTACCGTTGATCATAGTTTACTTCACAGTATAAAGACTCACAGATATCCATCATTGCAAATGGTAACAGAGATACCACATTTTCCAGAAATAAAATATCTCATTTTTGAACTTTATTTTAGGTTTGTTTGCCAACATTTTTGTAAAGTAGTTTTCTTTCTAAATATATGCCATTACAGCTGCAGTTGCCATACATCTTTAACTCATTCAGTTGCCTTAGGAAGTAATTATAGACAGTTTTTTTTAATGCCTCACATATCATCTTATTGCCTTAAGAGATATTTCTTAAGCCTATAAGAATATTTTTAAAAGTGATTCCATGCGAAATATTTCCACCAAAGCAAAGGTAGGTAGGTAGATGGACAGACAGATACATAGAATTTAAGATGTGGAAATTGCCTTTAAGAATTAAATATTCATCAAATTTCATCCACGGATTAAAAAATACAAATTGATGGAATAACAAAACAAGTAAACTTTAAAGTGTAATTTAGAAGAGGATAAAAAGATAAATTAATGATCTGAAATGCTCTTTACCTAAAATCTGTTTCATAGATAAATATTCTACATGTACATAAACATGAAGAAAAGTAATGATTGGCTTTCCAAATATATCACACCAATAGACATGATGGACATCCCAAAAGCTTAATATTGGCATCTTTCAAGAATATCACTGAACCCTAGCAAAATTCAGTTTAACATACTTCATTTCTTTTTTTTTTTTTAACATCTTTATTGGAGTATAATTGCTTTACAATGGTGTGTTAGTTTCTGCTTTATAACAAAGTGAATCAGCTATACATATACAAATATCCCCATATCTCCTCCCTCTTGCGTCTCCCTCCCACTCTCCCTATCCCACCACTCTAGGTGGTCACAGAGCACCGAGCTGACCTCCCCATGCTATGTGGCTGCTTCCCACTAGCTATCTATTTTACATGTGGTAGTATTTATAAGTCCATGCCACTCTCTCACTTCGTTCCAGCTTACCCTTCCCCCTCCCCGTGTCCTCAAGTCCATTCCCTACGCCTGCGTGTTTATTCCTGTCCTACTCCTAGGTTCTTCAGAACCTTTTTTTTTTTAGATTCCATATATATATGTTAGCATACGGTATTTGCTTTTCTCTTTCTGATCTACTTCACTCTGTATAACAGACTCGAGGTTCATCCACCTCACTACAAATAACTCAATTTCATTTCTTTTAATGGCTGAGTAATATTCCATTGTATACATGTGCCACATCTTCTTTATCCACTCATCTGTCGATGGACACTTAGGTTGTTTCCATGTCCTGGCTATTGTAAATACTGCTGCGATGAACACATGACTCTTTTTGAATTATGGTTTTCTCAACTGACTCAAGTGCTGGGTCATATTGTAGCAATATTTTCAGTTTTTTAGGGAACCTCCATACTGTTCTCCATAGTGGCTGTATCAACTTACATTCTCACCAACAGTGCAAGAGGGTTGCCTTTTCTCCACACCCTCTCCAGCATTTACTGTTTGTAGATTTTTTTATTTTTATTTTTTTGCGGTACGCGGGCCTCTCACTGTTGTGGCCTTTCCCATTGTGGAGCACAGGCTCCAGATGCGCAGGCTCAGCGGCCATGGCTCACGGGCCCAGCCGCTCCGCGGCATGCGGGATCTTCCCGGACCGGGGCACGAACCCGTGTCCCCTGCACCAGCAGGTGGACTCTCAACCACTGTGCCATGAGGGAAGCCTTGTTTGTAGGTTTTTTGATGATGGCCATTCTGACTGGTATGAGGTGATACCTCACTGTAGTTTTGATTTGCATTTCTCTAATGATTAGTGATGTTGAGCATCCTTTCATGTGTTTATTGGCAATCTGTAGATCTTCTCTGGAGAAATGTCTATTTAGGTCTTCTGCACATTTTTGGATTGGGTTTTTTGTTTTTTTGATATTGAGTTGTATGAGCTGCTTGTAAATCTTGGAGGTTAATCCTTTGTCAGCTGCTTCATTTGCAAATATTTTCTCCCATTCTGAGGGTTGTCTTTTCGCCTTATTTATGGTTTCCTTTGCTGTACAAAAGCTTTGAAGTTTCATTAGGTCCCATTTGTTTATTTTTGTTTTTATTTCCGTTTCTCTAGGAGGTGGGTCAAAAAGGATCTTGCTGTGATTTATGTCAGAGTGGTCTGCCTATGTTTTCCTCTAAGAGTTTTAGAGTGTCTGGCCTTACATTTAGGCCTTTAATCCATTTTGAGTTTATTTTTGTGTCTGGTGTTAGGGAGTGTTTGAATTTCATTCATTCTTTTACATGTAGCTGTCCAGTTTTCTCAGCACCACTTATTGAAGAGGCTCTCTTTTCTCCACTGTATATTCTTGCCTCCTTTATCAAAGATATGTGTGTGGGTTTACCTCTGGGCTTTCTATCCTGTTCCATTGGTCTATATTTCTGTTTTTGTGCCAGTACCATACATACTTCATTTCTGCTACATTCAATTACATAAGGATGGAATAACTTCCATTAAAATACAGTTTATCAGTAAAACAGGGTGTTTCAAGAACTTGATCAACACTGAAATTTCTTTTTTGATAGCTCTCTACCAAGATCCCAACACTTTACCTTTTTGCCATTATAACCTATTAGAGGAGCTCAGAATTTAGTGAATCTGAAAGTTACAAATAGTGACCCTCTGACAGAGGCCCTTGAGAGAAAATACTAAATTATCTAAATAATAATCCCTCAATCTAAGCTTTAATGATTAGTAATAAGATCAAAATTACATATCATGAAAATTCCAGCAAACAATGAAGTATTTATATGTAAGGTAGCAAGAGCTAATACATGCTCTAAATTCATAGGTTATAGCACGAAAATCTTTGAAAAAGAGCTCTCTAAAAGACCTTGAATATTTTATTTCATTAATACCCTTTTTTTTTTTCACCCAACACACTCATATCCAATTATGTCTTGCAATTGAAAACACAGTTCTTGACCCAGAGCAAAATACAAGGACAGATAAGTACCAGTCAATTCAACTGGGTTGGCAAGTAGTTATGAAAGAACTATTGTGTGTGTAGAGAATTCCTCCAGGACTTAAATGAAATAACACATCCTACTTATAAAGGTCTAGTGATATCGTGGGTCAGATCCTATTTCTGAATTGTATAAATAAAAAGGCAATTGTAACACTTACTTTGGAGAAGCACTAGTATTATAAGAGATCATATTGTTTGTGGTCAGTCAGAAAACATATGCCTGAATTCTGACTTACTAGTTATGTGAATTTGGGGCTGTTCTCTTAACTTCGCTGAGACTTATTTTTTTTAACTTGTAAGAACAATCATTCAATTAGATTCAGGAACACTTTGAAGAAAGCAGAACTACCAAGATGTCCTAATAGCTGAAATACAGGGTATAAGAGGAAGAGAAGAATAAAAGATGACTCCCAGGTTTTTGGCCTGAGCAACCTTAAGAATGGAGTTGCCATCAAGGATCTGGGAAAGGCTGCAGGTGGAGCTGATTTGGAGAAGAGAACACAAGTTCAGTTTTGCAAATGTTAAGTGTGAAGTGTCTATTTGAAATTTAATTCCTGATATCAAGTAGTCTGGGGCTTCCCTGGTGGCACAGTGGTTGAGAGTCTGCCTGCTGATGCAGGGGACGCGGGTTCGTGCCCTGGTCCGGGAAGATCCCACATTCCACGGAGCGGCTGGGCCCGTGAGCCATGGCCGCTGAGCCTGCACATCCGGAGCCTGTGCTCCGCGACGGGAGAGGCCACAACAGTGAGAGGCCCGCGTACCAAAAAAAAAAAAAAAAAAAAAA